GAATCTCATCACATATGACGGCATTTTCGGTGCAAAAACAAAACACGAATTACTATCAACGCCGTTGTCAATGACGCGACGACTTTCCGTATATACACTCTTATCCATAGATTACTGTATATATACTAGAGACCAGTCCGCCTAAGGGAAGTTCTGTGCGCATGACGTCATCATTTGACACTTTATTGTACTAGCGTGCCGCCGCCATATTGTGTCGGATATCCGGCCATAATAAAACAATTTTTAATTGTGTGTTTGCCGAATGAAGCATGCCAGAATTTGTTTCTATTTATTCAAATACAAAAAATTATAGAATAATTGATGGTATATCCATTAGGAGGATATAATGGTTTTTGGAGCACAAATTGACAAAATAATCGCCAACACTTTTCCAAATGGCACAAAAGTATGACGTCATATACTGTCCAATGTTTTGGAACGAATCACCAGTATAGCGTCGATTCATGACGTCATTTGCATTGGACAGTACACTGCGTTGTATTTCAGAACATACCCTTATTTAAATTCTCTTTTTCATTTTTTTTATCTTTGTTTCAGGCTGTTCATTAATTTCTATATTTAAGTTGAATAAATGTACTGATATATATTATTGTCATAACTATTATTGTATTTGTGTGCTGTTTTATACTAAATCCTGTAAATATAATGTTAGTTTTATTTATTTTGATATTAATTATTAATATCTGTAAGTATAACTATGGATACGAGAGGCGCTAGTTATGCATTGCCATTTTATAGGTCGAAGATTGGTCTCTATTTCAGTTTATACAAAGGTACTCTGTGCTTCCTATATTCCTATAGAAATGCAACGTCAGTTTGTCTATCTAGTCTGTGTAGAAATTTAGAAAGTACTCTGTGGTAGAAATGGAAATAGAATGAAAATGACTATGGAAAATGGATTCTGCCCAAAGTTGCCACATTGAATTAGCGTAGATGTAGATCTCTAAACTGCCATCAAAAAGTACCTAGTTATAAATGAATTTAGTAAAAAAAGTCCCCAAATGTCACTAAATATAATTTTATTAAAAAAAAGCGCGTAACAAAGAAAATTCGAACAATATATATACAATAATGTTGTACATGTTAAGTGATTTATTAATAATAGGTAACGGAATGTAGTTGTGCTTTTTTTAATGTGTATATTATTGTAAAAGCGACATCCAGAGAACCTTTGTTTCGGTTTCTATACATTTTATAACTTCTTTAACGGATATAGTATAGTATTCCTTACGCCTAAAGTAGTAGATGGTAACAAAATTGAAGTAAGTGCAAATGTCGCTAAAAGACACCGGAATATTTTTTGTCGCTAAACATTGAATTAAACTCGCTAAATTAACAAAAAACTCTTTAGATTTAACGACAAAATCGCTAAAGTGGTTCTAATAAATCTAAACATTCTGATGGGCCTGTACTGTACCACATTCTATTGCGGTAGAACTAAAGACACTTCCTGTTTTGTCCTTGAACGCAACAACGCTGGATTTATCATCAGAAGAAGAGACTGTTGAACCTCCAGGTATTTACAAGTTTGAAATTAATTTCCCGGAGTCGACATCAGTCACGGATGAGAGAGTTTAATCATTTTTTACTATTTTAGAAATTCAGCCGTTATTAACTTTTTTGACTTCATACTTGTTTATGTTAATTGCAGATCGTGGCCAACACTAAGGAACACAATTATTTTAATCCATCAATATAATCCAATAAAATAAATTTATACTAAATTATTACAACCGAGAGGAGCGGCTTCACGATTTACCACCAAAAAGAATTGTTATTAATTAAGAGCAGCATTCGAAATCAAAGAAATGTTCCAGGAAGAGAAACCGTTCTCAAGAATCATCATCATCATCATACATTATCCGCCGAGATAAAGATAAGCGAGGTGATCTTCTGATTAAAATCAGCATTTACGAACTCAATGAGCAAGAAGAAAATGTCATCAAAGATCTTAGTCCTAATGTAAGTGTTCAATATGTTGTGGATTCAATGTATGATGAAGAAGTATTAGATGCTACAAATTGTCTTATAAAAAAAAATAGGTGAAAATTATGGGAGAACTAGTAATTTAAGTAATGTAGCTTGTAAAATATAATAAAAGTTATACATTGACTTGTATTGTTGTTTTATTATGTACCATCATTATTTTTTTTTTTTTTTTTTTATAGAAGAGGGGGCAAACGAGCATGTGGCTCACCTGATGTTAAGTGACTACCGCCGCCCATGATCAACCGCAACACCAGGGGAATTGCAGGTGCGTTGCCGGCCCTTTAGAAAGGAGTAAGCTCTTTTCTTGAAGGTCCCCAGGTCGTATCGGTTCGGAAAAATCACCGGTGGTAAATTATTCCACAGAGAGGTTGTACGCGGAAGAAAACTCCTTTTGAAACGTACAGTGGTGGACCGCCAAGCATCCAGATGGTGTGGATGGTATCGGGACGTTTGCCGTGTAGTGCGTTCACGAAATTTGGCGGCTGGGATTAATCCGAACAATTCCTCAGAGCACTCCCCGTGATAGATGCGATAAAATACGCAAAGAGATGCAACATCTCTTCGCAGCGCCAGTGAATCGAGCCGATCGGAAAGCACTCGGTCGTCGACGATTCGAGCCGCTCTGCGCTGGATGCGGTCAAGTGGAAGGAGCTGGTACTGGGGAGCCCCAGCCCAGAGATGGGAACAGTATTCCATGAGCGGCCGAACCTGCGCCTTGTAAAGTTGCAGGCGGTGTGCCGGCATGAAATACTGTCCCGCTCTGCTGAGCACGCCAAGCTTTTTAGAGGCCAATTTGGCCTTCCCTTCCAAGTGACCACGAAACTGCACGTCACTCGATATGTCGACGCCGAGGATTCCGATACTGGCTGAGGCAACAAGGGGAGTGCCTTGAAACTGAGGGGATACGACAAAGGGGTTCTTTTTAGCGGTTAACGCGCAAACTTGTGTCTTCTGGGGGTTAAACTGGACTAGATTTAGTCGCCCCCAATCCGAGACTCTGTCCAGCAGAGACTCGACTTCAGACACAAGTTTGTCCCGGCACTCAGAGACGTTTTCCCGAGAAATATTTGCTCGGCCGGTGTAAAGAGCATCACCAGTGCTGTCATCTGCATAGCAATGAATGCTACGGGTTTGCAACATATCATTGATATGCAGAAGAAACAGCGTTGGCGATAGCACGCAGCCCTGTGGAACACCAGCATTAATAAGCTTGCAATCGGAGCTTGCACCGTCTACAACGACCTTGATGCTCCGATCTGCAAGAAAACTGGTGATCCAATCGCACAATTTCTCGGGAAGCCCATAGGAAGGGAGCTTCGAAAGAAGCGCTTTGTGCCAAACCCGATCGAAGGCCTTCGCAATGTCCAAACTAACGGCCAATGCCTCCCCCTTGGACTCTACTGCCTCCGCCCATCTGTGAGTTAGGTAGACCAGAAGATCACCAGCTGACCTACCACGGCGAAAACCGTATTGGCGGTCGCTAATCAGCTGGTGATCCTCAAGGTACCTCATGAGCTGGCAGTTTACAATGGACTCCATTGTTTTGGAGAACAAGGAGGTGATGGCGATAGGCCGGTAGTTGGACGGGTCTGAGCGGTCGCCTTTTTTAGGGATCGGGTGGACGAAAGCCGTCTTCCATGATTTTGGGACTACGCCTAGGGAGTAGGAGTACCGGAAAAGACGCGTTAAAACCGGTGCCAACTCTGGAGCACACGTCCTCAGCACAATTGGGGGGGATTCCATCAGGCCCACTCGACTTATGGATGTCCAGGGAGAGGAGTGCTTTGCGAACCGAGCGCTGAGTGAAGTGCACTTCCGGCATGGAGCACTCACACCGCGGGATGGTCGGCGGCGTACTCCCCCCGTCATCGAGAGTCGAGTTAGACGCAAAGAAAGAGCCTAGAAGATCGGCTTTCTCCTTTGCGGTGTGAGCCAGTGAGTCGTCCTCCCTGTGCAGAGATGGAAGAGATGGCTGACAGAAATTCCCCTGGACAGCCTTGGCGAGAGACCAGAATGCACGGGTTCCAGAAGGAAGACGAACTAGTCTCTCGCCAATTCTGCCTATGTGCTCTGACTTTGCCTTGGCAATGACTCTTTTGAAGGACCTAGAGGCGGAATTATACTTCTTTTTTTAGAGCGCTGGTGTTTACATCCCTGGACGCTTTTTTTTTTTACGCACGCATTTAATTGTGTAGAGGAAAAAATAAAAAGACATTTATTGTTACAACGAATGTATTTATTAAAGCTAATTATTTATTTTATTTTAAATTAATATAAAATTATAAACATAATAATACATGTAACTTAAGCTATACATTCATCTGTTACTTATCCCATACTTACAGTACATAGTAGTAGCATTACATAGTTTTACATTCAAATTTATTAAAATATAGTTTTATAGTGTCCCCACGGTAATGTATTGTAGCCATCGGCCATACATTGTCTTTTGTCATCATCTCTATTAAGTACAAGTTTATCAATCATGTCTTCATAAAATCATTCGTATTTATAAGATACAGCAGACTATCAGTATCAGTATGCATAACAGAGTTGTAGCGAATTTTTATACATGCGTTTAATTATAGAGTAATGAAAATGATATAAATAACTCTTAGCTAAATCCGAAGTTGAAAATCCAATGTAAATTGTGCGACTAAAGATAACTTTTGTTAGTTCTACCTGAATTGCTACTGACGAATCTGAAATTATTGACAAATTTTTAAAATTAGGAGCATTGACATATTTTTCAGCTCCACATAGTTTATTAGTCTTATTGGATGTATCTTTCCATACATTAACCAATTTTACACCGACTTGTTTTCGTTTATTCTCTATTGTATTACCAAAAAGTTCTGTGCCCTAAGTGCGCAAAGGGACACCCTAATTGTGATACTACGTCATATAAGTGTGTGAATTGTACGGGAAACCATTTATCCCTGGATAGATCGTGTCCTGCGTTTAAAAAAGAGAAAAGAATTCGGGATTTGATGGCAGAATTCAACTGCTCTTATAGGAAGGCGTTGCAAATATATGTTCCACCAGAACCTGTCCCTCCACTGCGTGCAGAACAAATTAATTCAACTTCACCGGCGCGCGCGAGTAAGTTTCCCGAGTCTATACCTGAACATGTACCCATGCAGTCACAAGACATAAACGCTATTTCCTATGTAAGTGTGACCCGAGCACCGCAACGTGATAATATCATTCGACAACCACAATCTACGCAACCGTACTCAACGAATATGTCTCAATCATTAGAACAGAGACCCAAGAAGAAAAATAATAAGAAAAAGAAACATAGTCAAAATGAAGTGTGTAACTGGGATGTACCTTCGGAAACAATGAATAATAATTTAGTCGATGAGTCGGAAAATGAAATTCGGTTGAGAAATGAGAGAAAAGAGAAGTACAGATAAAGTTTAAATTTGAAGCAGTTGCTTTCAAAATTATATGCATTAATTTCTAACTCAAAGGAGGATTTAAAGAGTAGAATAATTCAAGGAGTGACACTATCCATTGAATGGTTGGTATGGATAGTGGGGGAGTACATCTGGGACCTTCCTTTTAAAAATATCTTCGGTCAGTTATGGGGATAAACTCTCAAATAAACCTTCTCCAGTGGAATTCACAAAGTGTTAATTAAGCCCAAATACGTTGAATTTGAGCAGTTATTAAATAGTGAAAAAATTCATATAGCTGCTATTTGTGAAACATGGTTAAATAGTGAAGCTACATTTAGAATAAGTGGTTACAATGTTTTCCGTCACGATCGGGAAGATTCGTATGGGGGTGTCGCTATTATAACCCAAAATTCCGTTAAGGTGCAATTAATCCCAATACATTTTTCGAATCCTAGCATTGAAGTAATTTGTGTTAAAGTGTTCAACTGTAAATATATTGATTACATATTTTCTATCTACTGCCCACCAGTTATACGAACTTCTCAAAGTGACTGGGATGAAATATTTTCGTTTAAGATGAGTAAAACACTTGTACTTGGTGACTTTAACGGCCACCATTCCAGCTGGTCTTGTAAGACTGATTTGAGAGGACGTAATATTTTTAATTCTTTGTTGGAAAATAATTTTGTGTCGTTGAATGATAGTCGAACTACGCGCGTTAAATTTGTCAACGGAAATTTACAGGAATCCTGTCCTGATATCTCTATTGCATCTTCGGACATAGCGTTGCACTTAAACTGTAGGGTAACCAATGAGACACTGGGTAGTGACCACTTAATTATTAAGATTTACATTTCTTATAGTAACAATAACTCACTATTTACTCAGAGGAGAAACTATAAAAATGCTAACTGGGATGGTGGGTTGCACTAAAAGTATCGGGAATGGAATATTTCCACTGTTCCTGTCATATTAAAATCTTTTTAATTGAAAATCCTTGAATTTAAAAATCGAATACCCTTTATTTATTTAAAAAAAGATTCTCGGTCTTGTCACAAGGTTTTGTCAAACTTGTTTAGTCGTTGAGAAAATGGAATTGACTCGAGAAAATTCAAGAGCGATGATTTATTATGACTTTCGAAGTGGTTTAACACAAAAACAGTGTGTTGACCGGATGATTTCTGCATTTGGTGATGAAGCCCCATCCAAAACCACAATTTATCCCTGGTTTGCTGAATTTCAACGTGGACGTGTCAAGCTCAGTGAAGATCCCCGTCAAGGTCGTCCAAAAACTGCAGTCACCCAAGAAAACGTTGATGCTGTGCGTAAGCTGATTGAGGAAGATCGACATGTGACATACCGCGAAATTCAGGCAACTTTAGACATTGCCATGAGTCAAATACAAATAATCTTGCATGAACAATTAGGTGTAAAAAAGTTGTTTTCCCGATGGATATCGCATTCGCTCTGTGAAGAGCAAAAAACGGCTCACGTTACTTGGTGCATCAGAACTCTCGAAAGATTCCACACAGGATCCTCAAATGCTGTATACAACATCGAATCAGGTGACGAATCCTGGATATACGCATACGAACCCGAAACAAAAAACCAGTCACGAGTTTGGGTGTTCGAAAATGAGTTAAAGCCAACAAAAATTGTTCGTTCACGCAGTGTTGCAAAAAAAAGGTGGCCACGTTTGTCTCTAAAACCGGCCATGTTACGACTATTCCTCTTGAGGGACAAAGAACGATTAATGCAGAATGGTATGCTAGCATTTGTTTGCCACAGGTCGTTTCTGAGCTCCGTAAAGAGAACTGCAACCGCCGCATCATCCTCCATCACGACAATGCGAGTTCTCACACCGCACACAGAACAAGAGTTTTTAGAGCAAGAAAACATAGAATTATTAGACTATCCGCCGTACAGCCCCGACCAAAGCCCTAATGATTTCTATACTTCCCTAAAATAAAGAATAAATTGCGTGGACAGAGATTTTCATCACTTGAAGAAGCTGTGGACGCCTACAAAACGCCCATTTTGGAGACCCCAACTTCCGAATGGAATGGTTGCTTCAATGATTGGTTCCATCGTGTGGAAAAATGTGTCAAATTTCGCGGAGAATACTTCGAAAAGCAATAAATACATTTTTTTATTTATAATGTTTTTGTTTCAACATATGTTTATTGAAAAATGATTTACGTTCTTATAAATTGAAATCTCTTGTGTCTTCTTATAACCTAGAAATCTTGCCTCTATCTGCCACCCACCACTTTCCCAATTTTACTCCATCTCTTCTAGATCTGATTATCGTATCGTCTTTAAATAGTGTTGCTAACTACGGACAAATATGCGCTTCATTTTCATATCACGATCTCATTTACCTATCTTACCGTGTACGTCCCCCTAATTGCAAGCCACATTTTCGATATCTTATAATGATTGATATAATATATGTATATTTATTAACTATTATTAAAAGTTATGTAAAAGATTGCTGTAGAAGAAAAATCATCTATTGTTATAAAGTACTACTCCCTTCTATTCGATATTCTCTACCTGGTTACGTTCTTATTCGTAACGATAGGGTAGGCAAAGGTGGTGGAGGAGTTGCTATCTATTTACTTTCGGAAATTTCTTACAGGGTTATCAGCGTATCTCCATCAACTTATTCGGAATTTGCGGAACATTCGTTCCTTGAAATCACACTTTATCATAGAAAAATTTTCCTTGGAGTCTTGTATAGTCCTAACTTACTTTAATTAACTTTACTTAATTTTAATATCAATTACTTTGATACATTAGACATACTTCTTAATACTTTCTTTCTAAGTAGGTAGCCGAGTCCGGGCAGTCGCATGACTCGCATCCGCGATCGACGCTACTATACGTGACTGCTCAGGAGAGCATTTATGATTTATTCGTAAATGTAGGACTGCTTTAGAGTTAGTGACAGACAGGGGCGGAGCAAGACCTAAATTTGGTATGGGCAAGATGAATTTTGCGAGGCCCCTAGCGACGCATATTATTTTCCATTAATTTTATTTGGATCTCTATTATAACCCATCTCAAGTCTACAGCTGAAAGCTAGCTACTTTCACCATCTTGAGCCACCTAAATACATCAATATCCTACATGTTCTTCTTCATAGGTTGTCGGTTCTTCGAGCATTGTGCATTCTTTAGTAATACCTTGAACCGTGTCTGTAACCCTGGTTCTGCTGCGAATATATTCGATACGGATTTTGTTACGCAAAGTAATTCTCCGAGCACAGCCCTCTCCATAGTTTGCAGAACAACTTTAAGCTTTCTCATGCATCCAAAAGTAAGTTCTGTAGGTCATTACTGGCAACACTCACTGGTTCAGACACATATTTTGAGACTTATTGGTATGGAGTGTAAAAGTAAGGAGTACCAACTCTCATAGCAGAATATTTGAAAAAGTGTCCATCTGTAAGCAATAAATAACAGTTCAAAAACTCTCCACTACAGCGCTCGAGTAGCCACGGGGTAAGTTAAATGGCCGTAAAATACTGTTGCGCGCCTAATTTGACGTCTTGTACGGTACTAGCGCCATCTAGTGTCGAGGACCAGAGCGAGGAGGGCTTCCCACAAAATGTCAATCATGACTTTCGACCAACAGCGCCATCTAGTATCGAACAGAAGAATTAAGCTTTCTGGAAGCCCCACACTCGAACTTTCTGCGCCTGGTCGGATGGCACGCGTATTTACTTGAATATTCTGGATGTTTCGGTGAAAAGGCGTATTTAAAGGCGCTGCAATACGCGATCGGGGAATTATTGAATTTGGCGAGACAAGCGAAGCTTCGGAGCGAAATAAAGTGAATCAGTGTGATTAATTATTAGTGTTTTAAGTTTTACTTTTAGACTGGTGTTCGGTAATAAAAGTGTTAATTTTGGTAGTTCAATCGGTAGTTTTTACTGTCACGAACCTCAAGCTCGTAACAATTTTAGAAGAGTTTTATAAGCAAGTAGATGGTGTTGCGATGGGCACACCTGTATCTCCCATTGTCGCCGATATATTCATGGAAGACTTTGAGGAGAAAGCCCTCCTTACTGCACCTGTTACACCAAGGATCTACAAGCGGTACGTAGACGATACTTTCACAATTTTAACATCAGACAAAGTAACTGCATTTTTAGAACATCTTAATTCCATAAACTCTAAAATTCAATTTACTATGGAGTTAGAGGCAAATAATTTCTTACCTTTCCTAGATGTGTTAGTCATCCGAAATCCTAACAACACCATTGGTCACACTGTGTATAGGAAAAAGACCCATACAAACCGATATTTAAACGGTGAATCTCACCACCATCCTTGTGGGCAAATCTTTGTTACAGAGAGCACGAGGGATCTGTGACAGCAAACACCTGGCCGCCGAGCTTTAGCACGTCAAGCAAGTTCTGCACGACAACAAGCTTCGGGTCCCGCGCCTACATCACAGTCACCGAGTGAAGCCGGCCACAGTCGAGCGTGTGCCTGCTGTACTACCATATGTTAGAGGTGTCACAGACAAGATTGGCTACATCTTGAAGCGAGTTTCTATTAGAACATTCTACAAGCCGCCGAAGAAGATTAGTCAGTTTCTACCATCAGTCAAGTGTCATATTTCTCTACAAGATGCAGGAGTGTACAAGCTTGATTGTGAATGTGGTCTCTCTTATATAGGACAAACAAAAAGATCAATTAGAACCCGCGTAAAAGAACATATAGCTGATATGAAGCATCAACGTTCCGGGAAGTCTGCAGTTTGCGATCATATCCTAGACGGCCCCAACCATTACATCAGATTTGATAGACCACAAATCCTCGCGAAAGAACATCAATTCCTACCAAGGATGTATCATCCTTGGTAGGAATTGATATTGATACCAAGGATGATAAGTGAGGCTATTGAAATTAAAAAACATCCCAATTTCAATAAAGAAGGAGGCTGGGTACTACCACCTGCTTGGGATCCTATAATCAATAAAATTAAAACTAAACCCAAGCATA